AATCTGTCAAGAAACGGTTGCTCTTTGACTTACTGCTGCAAGTCTGGTTGGGGATGGATGACCAGTTGCTTACCTAGCATTACCAAAGCAACGAGTTGTTGCTTTCCATGACTCATGAAAATGCACTGTAGGCTCTCTTAAGAATGGCTGAGATCATTTTTTTGGCTGGGTTTGGGCATCTGGTTTCCTTAGCAAATAGCAGTGGGGGTGAAGGGAGGGGGATTTCCAAACTCGTTTCTTTGTATGTGTGATCTGGATTTTTGAGCTTGCCTAATAAAATACTTACTTCATTTGAGGGAAAAAAAAAAAAAAAAAGAGACCTGTAACTTCCACATCTGTTTAGTTTTTGTAGGATGTCTCACTTAGTTGTGCTTTGCTGCAAGAAGAGCAAAGCTACTCATAACATTGCAGAGCTGCATGCTGTATTTTTCCTCTTAAATAAGCAAGCATAGCAACATCATGGGTGGTATTTTTCTTTTAAAGCAAATCTTTCTGGGGGAGGAGGTTGTTGTTGTTGTTGTTGACAGTGTGTGGTCAAATAGAGAACTCTGATTCCACAGTGATGCAGCAAAGTATTAGCAAGAAGTGTGTTTTAGTGTTTGGGATCCTTGGTTCACTCTCCAGTTTTGTCTGCTCAGCCTAAAGGCAGAAGCACATCCCTGAGAACCAAGTGCTGCAAGGTGAGTGTTGACCAGAGGAGGATCAGAGTGATGATACCTGTGTGCTAAATTCAGATAATGGGAGGTCACCAAATGTGTTGCCACCTCTGCAACCAAGTTGCAGCAGCATCTCACCCAGGTCTAGCAAGCCTTCCCAGGCACCTGAGAGTGGGCAGAGAGGAAAGTGGGGACATCCTGGGTGGCCAGAAGGTAATTGTTTGGATCGGGACATACATGGAGTGGTGGACTGAATGTGCCAGTGCTTTGCAGGTGGTGGAAGGAGTGAGGGTTAAGGCTCGTTAAACTCTGTATGCAGCAATGTTAGCAGAGTTCAGGGATTTAATAGATGTGGCCCGACCTCTTGTGCTGTGCAGGTTCTCTGCCAGTGCTTGGTGTGTGTATGGGAACACGTTGGGGCTGCCAGGGGCAGCAGCTCTGCCCTGGGAACAGCAAGAACCCAGCAGTGTAATGGCCCGGCTGTTGGCCAGGGGTGAGCGGGAACAATGTGACTGAGCAGGTTTGTGCTCACTTCCTTGTAATCTCAAAGCTGAGATAATGCAGAAACCCAGGAACGTTTCCCAGCTTCCTTTCTCTGTCCCCCTGTGTGTCCTGCCAGGCAGGAACAGCCCAACAGGCTTCCTGTCACCTCTGCCTGCACGGCTGGTGACAAGCAGGTCCATGCTGGAGGAGCAGCACAGCTGAGCTCAAGGTGGGGGGATGGATGCTGCTACCCCTTGGGCTTGGCTCTGGGCTTGCTGCCTGTGTCCCCAGCACCCAAAGCTGCTCTGTGTGCTGCTGTTTATCACGTCCTTCCTGGTCTCTGAATTTCCCTGCATCCTCTTCTCTTCTTCTTGATGCTTGTGGACGTTTGAATGGAGGGCCAAACTTTCTCTTCACTGCAGCCCATGTGCCTGCAGGCTGAAGCAGTGCCCCAGGGCTAGGCAGCAGCATGGGATGAGCTCTGTCAGAGCCAACAAGGGCTTTTTCAGAAGGTCAGGTCCATATTTACAGACAAGTTGTGTCCACAAAATATTTCTGCTGGGCAAGACCCACCAGCAGCCGTAATTCTGGTAGTTCAGGTGAGCAGATGATGCCAACAGATCAGCTGGGATAGCTGACCTTCAGGGTTTGATGCTGGATAAAATAAGGGGAAGCAAAATTTGGAAAAAAGCTGTTCTGCTATACTATTATTATTTTTAAGCTACTGTGCCTTTGTATTGTCCCCCAATGCATAGTGTTCTTCTGGCTAGGTGGGCCAGCATCGGGGTTCCTCCAAAGGGACTGCCTAGTTTCTAAGCAGGTGTTGCTATGAAAGCTGTGTTTTCTCATCTGTAACTTAACTAAGTCATTCCCTGCCCAGTCTAAGCTTTATAGTGGGTAGTATTGGGGGAAAAGAATCCTGGGCCACATTCTTTCCTCCAAAAAAAATGAATAATTAAGTTTAAAATACTAATTTTATTTTTTTTTTCTATTTCTTTTTGTTTGAGCATTTCAGGCTTCATGACTTGCACGTCTTTCTTCAGCTTCTGACATCCACAAGTACTTCTTTGTAACAAAAAAAAAAACAAAAAGAAAAAAAGGAAGTGGATTCTGATGTAATCATGTGACTCCAGGAACTTGGTGCTTATGAAAAACTCTGCATCCTATGGGAACTGGCAGTGCTCGTGCCCATCCCGTGGTCCAGCAGCTGAACTAGAAAATGAAGCACAACCTTCTACTCCCTTTCCAGTGTTGCTTCCTCATTCCTTGGTGTCTGTCTTGTTGAAAGAGATCTAGATAGTGTGGCTTTGGGGTTTTCTAAGGTGTGTGGGGTTTTTCTGTAATTTATATGGTAAAAGGTGTTTTTTCCTTAGATGGTGAAATTTGCAGATCTGGAATACTGAGGCTCTCAGTTGCTCTTTGGATGGAGTGTGAGGATGGTCTCTTGTAGAAACCTTGCATGTTGGTGCATGCTTTGCTTGAACACACTATGGAGATGCTGGAGTAATGCAGCTGCTGGATGTTTTTCTTGTATTTTGAAGCTAAGAGAGGGCCTTGCTGCTGCTAGTGGAGTGGATCAGTGCCTGTGGAAATTGCAGTGGAAGCCTGCAGTGCTTAAGGAGAGTTAGAAGAAAGATGAGGACAGACTTTTTAGTAGGGCCTGCTGCAACAGGACAAGGGGTAGTGGTTTTAAACTACAAGAGGGGAGATTCAGCCTGGATATAAGGAGAAATATTTCTATCATGAGAGTGGTGAAGCACTGAGAGGTGGTAGTTGCCTTATCCCTGGAAACATTCAAGGTCAGGTTGGACAGGGCTCTGGGCAACCTGATCTAGTTGAAGATGTCCCTGCTCACTGCAGGGGGGCTGGACTATTGGAACTTTAAAGGTCCCTTCCAACCCAAATTACACTATTTTCTTCTGCACTATCTAAGCTGTGTTGGATTCTCTTCTCCCCAGCCTCTTTGTGTCCTTGTATTTCCCCTACTGAGGTGGCTGGGGTTGGGTTTTTTTGAGCTGGTTTCTGACAACCTGGCACAAGAGGCTTGACCTGTCTTGCTGATGGAGAGATGATTGCTGTCTGTTCTCTTGACAACCTGCTTTCTGCAAAAGTAAACTTGAGTGCCTCTCCATGTTGGACAGGCTCAGGCTTGAGTGTTCAGAGAAGCATTCATACTCATAGACTCATAGAATGGTTTGGGTTGGAAGAGACCTTAAATATTACCTATTTTTAACCCTATTGCTATGGGCAGGGACACCTTCCAGTAGACCAAGTTGCTCAAAGCTCCATCCAGCCTGGTAACTAATAATACAGAAATGAGGTTCTTGTGCTGCTTGGGGCTGTTGGGACAGGAACTGGGGGACTTGCTCAGGTTCCTTGGAGCTCACGGAAGGCAAATGCAATTTCTCCTGTGTGTAACTCTCCTTGGGTAAGTCCTGTTAGCATGAGTGAAATAACAGTCAGAAAATGAAATATCTTCAGCAGGCAAAGCTCTCCCAACATAACCAGGCAAGCAAAGCCAGCATGTTTCTTTACAACGTATTTATCCTGTGACTAAGCACAAAAGTTAAGAGATGGAAAAGGTCCTATTAGATCATTTTGTCCACCTCCCTGCTGGCATGAAATTTTTATCCCTGGTGTGTATTTATTAATAGGCTGTTGGGCAGACAGGAGTCATTTACTCTGGATAGTATGGAAGAGTAGCAGCTGGCCTGTGAAGGTGAGGGACTCTACACGTGTGTGACTCACCTTGCATATGCACGAGTTGCTTACAGCAATAGGAGTTTGTAACCAAAGGGCCAGAAATTCTAGTTTGGACATTCTATGTGTGCTTGGAGTCTTCCCATTGACTTGCTGGGACTCAGTTTGTGCAGGCGTCAGCTTGTCTTTTTTTAGCGTTCTAGGAACAAGCTAATTTTACTTGATGTTTCTGATGGAGTAGGTGGTTTGAAAACTACTAATAATAGGGAGGGAAAAAAAAAAAAAGTAGAAGCCTTTTGGTAAGGAGAGGTCAGCCAGCTAGACATCTGCACAGCTGGCCTGGGCTCTGTTGGCCATAATCTATGACAGTGTTTGTTGTGTGAAGGCTCCCGGAGGAGATGTCAGAAAGGTGCAGGTGGAAATGCTATTGCTATGACGAAGAGATCAGTGCTGGAGTTTCAGGCCAGAGCTTGGGACCATCAACACTGCTTCGTTTATTACTCCTCAGTAACCATAGCACAGCCTCGTGCACGTGTACTTTTCGTTTTTTACCTCCCACTCCCTGATTTCACTTACAGCTCAGAGCACTTTGCACCTCCCAGGCTGAAATTGCTGAGTAGTGTGTATAAAGGGACAGAGTCTCTCATGAACTAATTCAGGAGAGAACTAGAACATGTGCTTAACACAGGTAAGGGATGGGAGTAGCAATTCCATATCTAGGCATGTGCCCAACTGCCTTCTCATGTTGAGACTATGTTGGCTTTTGCATTTAGGACCACTCTGCTGGCTCCAGAGTTGTCTCCTGGACAACAACCAGTGTGAGATCAAGATTTAGGATTAGATTCCAGGGCTGTTCTGTCATGCAGGTGAGCAACCAAGCCTGCTCTGCCACCAGTGAGATGTTTTTGCTGGTGGTGGCACTGAAGGTGAGCAACCAAGCCTGCTCTGCCACCAGTTTTTGCTGGTGGTGGCACTGTGTTGGGCCTCTGGGGCTGTACTATGGTCTGATGATCTGTTTCCTGATGCTACAGTGCATTTTGTGCAGTTTTCTGGAGGTGTTACCAGACATCTCTTGGTTATGTGATTGCTCTGGTGCATCAGGAGAAGGGTCTGTCCCCTAGGTCTCTGGAGGATAGGGGCTGGGTGTTTCATGGTACTGACCATGTCCCTGGCACCAATGGTCTTTCTCTTGGCATGTTCTGTGGAAGTGACAGAATTGCAGATGACATTTTCCAGGAAAACTTCCAACACTTGTAAACGAGCTCAGAGATGGGCTTCATCTCCCTTCCCTCGACCAGATATCTAGGGAGGAGGGAGCTGGAGTAGGGCACAGTGCATTCAGGGAGCAAATCTGTCTTGTTCTTTCCTTTAGAGAAAACTTAGTTGAAAGATGTAAAAAGCAATTGCAAATGCTGTCTGGACACGGCCTCTCCTCATCAATTAGTGGTATTAAACGCTCAACAGGGAGGATAAATTAGAAAACTGAAATATTTCCATCGTGACAGCCTTCTGGTTTCCAATGAAATGCAGCTGAAGAACTGGAAAGGCTTCTGTATTTTGTTTTGATATGCAGGCATATGTTTCTTTCCATCCTGGAAATTAATTCTGTCTGTCTGTAATGGGGCCGTGGGAATCGATACTGAGTTAAACTGAATTTCTCTAGAGCTTTCTTCTAAAAGTAGTTGACTGTTTCCCCACTGTGCCTAATAAGTGACCTGGTTTTGGAGCAGCTGAGCAACTGGTCTTCCAGTTCAGAGGGGGTATATGGCTGCCTTGACAGTTCAGGGTTGGTCCATGATCTCTGGAGGGTGATGGACTTCTCTTTTCTGAAGGTTTTCTGGTCAGACTTCCTCCGAGACGCTGGGGAGAGCCCACAGCCCACTTTCCATTGCACAGCACCAGGCTGGATGACCTAGGAAAGGAAATTACTCATCACTCTGCCTCCCTTGCAGGCTGCTCTTGGCCTTGGGGAGCTGTCATGCTCAGCCTTACATTCTGCAAAGCCCGAAGCTGGATTTAAGAGACAGTATCTGCTTTTTTCCTCAGTTTCCTCATCTTTTCTTTCCTCCATTGCACCTGAGGAATGAAGAAGAGCCAGTGCAGCAGCTGTGTCCTGCCTGGCACTGGGTGAGCAGGTCACCATTACATGATGGCTGCAGGTGGCACAGGTTGGACAACCTGGTCTAGTAGAAGGTGACCCTGCCCATGGCAGGGGGATGGAACTAGATGATCTTTAAGGTCCCTTCCTACCCAAACCACTCTATGATTCTACAATAACTTGAGGTTGCTTCTCCTTCTCTGGGAGGAGCTGCCTCTTGTGTGCTGCAACAAGCAGCAGCTGGTGTGTGGGCTCTGCAGAGCTGCAGCCATGTCAATATTGGATGGCACAAGGTTGGCAGGAGAGGCAGGACAGACCCAGGAGGCTCTGAGGGCTTGAAGCTTATATCAGTACATGTGCTCTACAGGCCTGTTAGGTTGTGTGATCCTGCAGCTGTGTGCTGCCAGTCTGGTTCCTGCACTGGTGATGGCTCATTTCTTGCTGTGTTTAGTCATCCACAAAGGCAAGTGTACTTGAGTCCATGTGATACTACAAGTCAAAAGGACAAGTAGAACAAGACCTCTGTGAAAGCTGACCCACGTGTTTCTGTTTCATAACCCTACCACTACCCCACTGATGGCATGCACAAGCCAGCAGCTCGTGCAGGCAGCAGTGCCCTGGGGCTATGCAGAAACATGGTCCTTCTGCCCAAAAACACAAGGCATCTTTTAATCTTCACTTGCCACCAAGTGCTACCTGAGCTTGGTTTCCTCCTCCTGGTCTAATCTCGATCCAGAACTGCATGGCAGAAGTGATATGAGCAAGAAAAAGACCTTGTAAGTTCTGCAGTGCCTCTTTTTCAGGGGGCTGATCCTCAGGTCCTGGTCTCCCCACGTGCTGTGGAGCTCACGCTTCCTTTGCAGGGAAAGACAGTGCTGAGGGAGCAGAAGGTGGTCAATTAGTCCTCAGCCCTTGGCTTTGCAGTCAATTGGAAAGCCATGTGATGATCAATCAAATCTAGACGGGCTGCAGGGGTGAGGCTGTGGCTCATTAAAGAGGAAGCTGTGGGTGGGATGGCTGCGAGAGGCACTATTGATCTCAGCCAGTTGAGGGTAAGTGGGAGTACAATAAAGGCTGGTAGGACATCTGGTAGGAGATACAGGTGTTATCCTGAAAGCTGTCAGCAGGACGTTGCAAGTGAAATGAAGTGGGCCAGCTGGAAAGCGGGATGAGCGTGGAAGATGGCACAGAAGCCCTCATGCTGCCATCAGACCTTGCTGCCCACTGAAGGGATGGGATGGACCTCCCTCCTTCCCAGTTCAAAGCTTGGTCACTTAGTGTTAATCTCCTTGTTAGGGCATATTGGACCAGTGATAAAATCTGTAATGCTTTCTGATGCTCTTAGAGGTCAAAGCTACACAGACAGGGTTGGTACTTGCCTACCATTATCCTTTGGGTAGACTGGATGTCCCAGTCCCTGGTGCAGGTGGCCAGCTCTCAGGCCAGGTTTCCATTGCATGACTTTGGCTTTTCAGCCCTTTGGTGTAGAGCTTCGTTCACAGAGACTTCATTTCTGATGTTGGATAGTGGATTGGTGCTGTGCAGACATTTTTCTCCCAATTGCTTTTCCCAGGAAAGATTTTGCTCTGAGACAAATGCTTTGCTGAGGGCATATTTCATCTGAAGGCTTTAGAATCTATTCCTTCTTTTTGGTTTCTACTCCTTCTTCCTCTTTTTTTTTTTTTTTTTTTTTTTTTTTTTTTCCCAGGAACATCAAAGAAAGAGACTTTAAGTCTCACTTTTCCAGATAGACTTTTTTTTTTTTTTTTAATTCTTTCTTGTTTTAATTTCCCCTCACAAAATCTTCAGTCATTTGGGGAGAACACGAGAAAAAGCCCATGAAAACCTGCAGAAGGAAAAATCTGTAACACACCTCTGTGTTATCTTCTACTCAGAGATCCACTTTCTTTGCTGTGTTTACTTAGGAGGGTATGTTCATTGATCTCAGAGGGTTTTTGTTGGTGCAACTTGCATCAGGATTTCCCTCTACTTTCTCAGTGCACAAATCTCCATCCAAGGGCAGGATTTTGCCCTGTGAAAGGGGAAATGATGCAGAACAGTGCTCTCCTGTAGCTGCAAACCTTCATCCTCAGCAAGCAGGGATGTGTGTTTAAATCATTTTGGCTCAGCTGGCTTCTAGAGAGATGAATGTATTGGGCTGCAGGAGATGAGGATCCTTTAGACTTTGTCATGTCAGTGCCCGATTTAAATATTTGTATTTAGACACAGGGTATGGTGGGACTGGGCTTTGGGGTGTAATCAGGGTGTCTGCAAATTGGTTCATCTCCAGCAATTGCTGGAGGAGGCAACTCCTCTGTAACAAGTGTGAGTTCAGCAGAGACACAGTTCTGAGCTGTGCAGACCTTGGTGCAAGTAAAAAACCAAACGGGTGGGGACCATGTATGTTCCCTGGAAACTTGCTTTGCTTGACTTGTCTACTGTAGATATTAAATGGCACATTAACTCTGACCTGATAGGGCTGTGTTGTCTGATTTTTCCCTGATAGAAGAGCCCTTTCTAATAATTTTGATTTGCTTCCTTGTTTTATGGGTTTCCAGATGTTTCAGATCTGTATGCAAAAATCAAAGGTATTTTATAGGTCAGTATAAATTGCTGTCTGTTTCACTGAATTTGGTAAAAGGATTATTACTGTAAAGCAAGAAAAGAAACTAACTGGGGGAAAAAAAAAATAAGTTATTGGAGCATGCTGTCTGCAACATTTCATTTCCAAAGTTATTTGTGAGAAATGGAAGGGTTGAGAGGGGAGAAGGTTTAAGATCTCACTGGCTGTTTTAAAGGGCTGTCATGGAAGTTAACAGCAGGAGTCATGCAGGTTTTAAAGCTCTTATTCTGTGTACATGTTGTGCTGGAATCAACAGGATGGCTCAGGAGATTTTTCTTAAAAGCAGCTGTTGGATCCAGCTGCAATGGCAGGGTCACTGACTAAAGGTAACCTCCATCATGCAGGGGGGCTTTTAAGCACAGATCTCTTCTCCCAGCAACATATTTTGTGAAAAAAGATTCTTAAGCCATTTTGGGGTGGCATGCCCAAAAATGGGCAGAGGAAACCTCAGCTGATTATTATTCATATAGAATTACTTGTTGGGTTTCATGCACAGTAATTCCCAGAGCACTGGCTTGCTCCTTACATGAGCTGGGATGGTGCATGCAAGTCACTTCTTACTTAGCTGCCTGATCAGTACATGCTCAGGAAAGTTTCCTCTTTTTCCTCCTCATCTGGGCTCATTAAGTCTGTCCCTTGAGTGTACTTGGGAGATGCACCTGCAAACCTGGGCTGGTTACATGTGTGCTTGCAAGAAGTCCATCCCAGTTGCACGCTCATCAACATGGAATCATTGAATCATTTAGGTTGGAAAAGACCTTTAAGCTCATTTATTCCAACTGCACACCTAACACTGCCAAATCCACCACTAAACCATGTCCCTAAGTGCCACATCTACATAGATGTGTAGTCTTAAATGGCTTCTTTTTTACTACCACTATGTGGAGTGTCCTCTGGATAACCTGAGTGGAAAAGTACTATGAGAGTAGGGTTTTGCATGTATGAGGTGTCATCAAAATTTTAGCTGTTCTTTAGTGTGGCCCCAAAATATGGATCCCATTTCCAGGGCAGTTTTATGTGCACAAGGCTGAACGTTCTATAACGTTCAGACAAAACTCTAAGGATGAGGCTGAGATGACCAGAAGAAACCTGCAGCATTTCAACCACCCTCCCTTTGCCTTAAGAATCCATCTGTGCCAAGCCTGCGGGCTGTTTGACTGAGCTATCAGCACGCATACGTTTGTATTCTCACCGTTAGAACAATCTCCTTTGCTTTGCTGTTGTTTTTCACACTACCCCAGCCCTGGCCTCTGAAGCTTTTTGAAAATAACATTTACAATAATATTTTTAACAGTTCCGTAGTATACAAACCTCCAGCTCCCTGGCAGGACTCCCGGAAACTTGCTGAAAGTTAATGTGGTCAACTCTTAAAAAGGAGAGATTTTTTCCGCTTGACTCTTGCTTGTTAAACTCTCTGAGCCCAACATGTTGTTCCCTGCTGGTTGAAAAAACAAGGAAAGTCCCAATTTTAGCAATGCTCGTTTGAGTAGCTTTCCAGCTGAGCCATATTTCAGGAGCGACTGTGGCTTGTTATTATTTTTGTACAGTGGTGTGTCCCTACACCTTCAAACCAAAGTGTTAAGTGGTGCTCAGGCAGGAGTAAGTAGGTGCTGCTTTCCCTGGAAGCATCCCTGGGGGTGATAAACCACAGAGGGAGATGCCACTTGCTGTTGCTGCTGTGCTGGCAAGGCATCCTGACTTGGAGGCTGTTTTATGCTGGATGCTGAGCCTCTGTGGGGTGAGAAGAGCCCTTTTTTGGGGGGGAGGTGAGACTGTAAACACCATTTCAAGTCAATGGTGGGCCACTGACAATTCCAGCTCTCAGTGCTGGACTGTATTCTTGCTTTCCTAACCCTTATCCTATATCCTTCCTACTGATAAGTCTCTTCCAGTCATTTTTGTGTCTTCCCTCAAACCCAGGGCAAAAAAAAAATAAAATCCTTTTCTCTATCTTCTCCTCCCCTGCTTTGTTTTCCTCCATGTAGATGCAGAGAGGCTGGAGTCAGATCTGGCTGGACAGGACGTTGCTGTTGTCTCCCTTGCACTCAGTCTTGCTTAATCCCTGCCCAGTCAGGAGCCTGGGAAGAAAAGGGAAGAACTGGGATTAATTTTTAAAGTGGATTAATAACCTCACACACAGCTCTCACATGGATGCTCTGCACTCATGTATCTGTAATGAAGTTGAGCCACTTTGGCTGCAGAATGGAGTTCAGCTCAGCCAAATCAAAGCTGCTTTTTCTTCTAGACGAGATCATCTCTGCTGTCCTTCTCTGCAGGTTAAGTGACTTCCCTGCACGTTTAGTGACCTCCAGCAGCTTCCCAAGCAGCCAGAAGCAGCCCAAGTCACTTG